CGGAGGCAGGCTCTTTGGTCTTTATCCTGAGTGTATTTAGATGTCATTAGAGAGCTTCTATTTCTTCATCTGTGGCTATGTCTATGTGTGAAGGTGTGAACTTGCCACGGTGTACACGCAGAGATCACAGGACATCCTCGGCTGTCAGCTCTCACCTTCCACCTTGGTAGAGACAGATTGTTTGTTGTTGCTTGCTACTGTGACTCCAGGCTGGATGGCCTGTGCGCTTCTGAGAGCCTCTCCTGCCTTTGCCTCCCATCTCGCTCAGGAGAGCTGAGAGTACACATACATGCCATGTCGATTCTGGGGATCCAAACTCAGGCTGTGGAACCATCACATTTACTAGCTGACCCACCTCCCTAGTTCTCGTTAGAGAATTCTAAGCAAGTGAATGAAATGACCTATTTCATTTTAAAAACTTCTTCTGGTTCCTGGTTAGACTGTAGACTTGTAAGAGTTGAGTGTAATCTCCCCCGCCTGGGAATTAAAGCAGAAGGATCAGGAGTTTGAAGCCAGCCTATCTCAAAATGAACATAAATAACCACACACACACACACACACACACACACACACACACGCACGCACACACACACACACCAGAAGCAAGGAGGTCAACCAACAAGATATTTAACAGTCCCCTGAGAAATGACACCTGCTTTGGAAAATGAAGAGACTTACTATCTGTTTTAGAGACAGCCAAAATTGCTAGCAGATCGGATGTGGGGTGTGAGGACATGACAGGTACTCAATGGCATGGAAGCTGGTCCCTGTCACTCATACGGAAGCCCTCTCGACTCCCACTCTGAAATTTCCGTGAACTATCCCAAGAAAGAGGAAGAGCAAACAGGTATGTAAGTGAGGGTGGGCATTATTTAGCATTCTTTCTGAACATTCAACCAGGTTTTTCAGGTAGAAAGCCAGGAAATTCTATAAATTACTTCTGAAATTGCATTTAATGCATGAAACCCTCCAAGTTATACCCAGCCTTGTGTGAGGTTTCCTTGGGCCAGCTAGACATACCTACCAGACTCGTGATCGCCATGTTTCCAGGGTCTTAGCGCTTAGCCTGCGTGCCAGCCTTTACTTCTCAGACTAGGTATGCATGGAAGAGCCGAGGCCAAGAATGTTGCAAGCTGCTCTTTGTCATCCACTTACGCTTCCATTTGTCATGTTCTCTTTTTAATTTCGGATGATCTTTAGCTGACTCAGTGCCATTTCCAGTTTCTCCCCCCCCCCCCCCCCGCCTTTATCACTTTTGTCTGTTGGAGTCTTCTCTAACTAGTCTTTATCCCATGAAGCCTTTCAAGAATAAAGCGAACAAAATGGCTTTTAAATTATTTGGGGGCTGCTTCTGGGTTGCTGGGGAAGTGCTCCTTTTCCTTCCAGAAACTTCAGAATGAAAGCAGAGAGCTAGACAGATAGGAGGCCTGTTTGGAGGGAATGCCTACTGTGTGTGTGTGTGTGTGTTGGCTTTCTCCTTTTACCATGTGAATTCTGGGGATTGAATTTAACTGGTCCATCTTGTTGCCACAGACCTGTACTATGATGGAGCCAGCTACACTTTTTCCCCCTTTATTCTTTTAGATGTGGTGGCCGGATGGGCTGGGCTAATACGAGCATCCAGATCCAAGAGCTTTATCATTCAATAGAAGATGGCCTTGGGCCTGACCCAGGTCCAGTAGAGCAGCAGAGACCATCTTTCTCTCCGCAGGCTGAGGGGAAAACTCCCATGAGGAGCAGCACAGTGGGAGGAGTCCAGTATGCCCAATTCTCTGGTCCCAATTTATTCTCCATCACCAGATATGCAGATTAGGAGGTGAGGAAATAGTTCTTCCTGTAAAACCCCGGGTGGAGAGAGGTCGTTCTCTTGGCAGGAAATGAAACATGTACTCTTGACCCGGTGACTGGTATGATGACTGAATAAACTCATAAACTCTGTCACTGGTTGGCAGTTGTAGGATAATTCCTTGTCATTTGTGAAGACATTAAAAGGGGGTTAGTACCCACCTTGTGAGATGATCCAGGACTGTCCTGCCTGGTTTAAAATAAACATTTGATAAAGATGTGCTACCAGCAGAGTGACAATAAGTGCCTATTTCCCTTCTTAGGTAAGATGTGTGTGTGTGTGGGGGGGGCTATGCAGATAGGGTTAATCTCAGCAGATGGAAGCCTCAAGGGCCTGTTAACAGCTATGCTATACCTTCAATCTTGAGTGTTGCCCAAAGGTCCATATGCCAAAGGCTTGGTCCCCAGCTGAGTGCTGTTGAGAAGCGCTAAGAACTTTAAGACCTGGGGCCTGCAGAAAAGTCTCTGGTGACCTGGAGCATGCGCTCAAAAGGGGTGGTACGAGAAGGGTCTTTCTGTCATCTAGAGAACTCCTTCATTGATCTCTTCAGCGCCTTAACACTTTCAATGAAGAAGTCTTTCATTTCCTTGGTTAGGCTTGCTCCGGGTGTGTAGGTGCGTGTGCTGTCAGTGGCATTGTTACCCTGATTTCCATTTCTGCATGTAATCGGTATATAAAAAGGCTAGTGATTTTTGTGCAGTTTGTATCCTGCCACTTTGTAGAATGTATTCATCGGCTCCTACAGGTTTTGATGGTGAAGGCTGTAAGATCTCTTATATATATAGAATCACCTCTCCAACCACCTCTCCAACACCCCGCCCCCGCCCCATGTGCCCTGTCATTTGTGTTCCTTTGGTTTCTTTCTCTTGCCTTATTGCCCTAAGACTTCAAGCACTATATTGACTAGGGGGTGGAGAGAGTGGACAATCTCGTCTTGTTCTGATTTTCATGGGAATGCCTTTTTTCTAATAGTGTGATGTTGGCTAGAGGTTTGTCATCTATATGTGGCTCCTGGGATGATCCCCAGGCCTCAGTGGATGGCTTCATATGTGCATCTAGGCGACACTAACTGGACCCAGTGGATTATTTTTAAGAAGCAAAAAAGAAAGAAAATGAAGTTCAGAGGTATATGTGTTAAAGGAACCTAGAGGGAGTGGAAGAGCAGAGGGAGAGATTGTTAAGATACATTGCACATGTTTCCAAAAATAAACAAAAATACTTTTAAAAAGAGGTAGAAGAGATTGAAGAGACCTGGCCTTCTGTTCCCCAGCCACGAGGTAAGCCACCTTCCTATACCACATGCCCCACCATCTTGTGTCGCTTCACCACAGGTCCCCAGACAACAGGATCAACTAACTGGTCATGGTCTGACATTTCCACAACCGTGAGCAGACATAGACCGTTCCTCTTTATAAACTGTCTCTAGTGTTTGTTACACTAATGAGAAATAAACACAAGACAGGAATAAAAACTATCTTACAGGCTGAGAGGAGCGGCCCAGTGCTAGTCTCTGCTTAGCTCCCATTTGGTCCTGGGTTTCATGCCCAGCTCACACACTGCACACGCTGCTGCCCATGCATCAATATTCCTCGCTGTAAATGCCTAGGATAATAGTTCTGAGTCTTCCAGGGGTTAAAGCTATGTCTTGGAGCAATGCATAGGCCCAGGAGGTACAGCTGTGTATGAAACACAAAGAACTATTCCCTTTGGAATCTAACACCTGGAGCTTACCTGGCAGAGCCCCAGTGAGGCCGGGGAGCTGGGCAACACCGAGGGACTGGGAAAACCCCACACTCCTCAGACCCTCCACTGTAACCATGTGATGCCAGCTCCCATCTGGGAGCAAAGCCCTGTGCCCCTTCCCTGACAGCCTTTGTTGAACATTCCCGTCTTACTCCAGAGCCACTGGAGCTTTGGAGCCAGCAGCTCAACACCCTGCAGTTTTAGCCCAGGGTCTTATTTGCTTTCTCTATGTGAGATAACTAGTATTTAGCCAGAAGCTCTTCCTCTGAGACAGTCATAGATTGGGGGCGGCTAACTCCAGAAAAATAAACCCAGCCCCTAGCAGGAAGAAAGAGCTTGCAGCACTTAGCCCTCTATGTACCGGGATGCTCCTTCCCTCCCACTTGACCCTTTTGAGCAAGGCAAATCTTTGCAGAAAAAGGAGGTGGCTGAAGGAGTCTGCATTTCTGATCTGTTACATTACCTTGTGAGGGCTCAGAACATTTGCACTCCCGGAATGAACCTGGAGGTACAACAGCTGCACCCCAAACTACGTGTAGGAGGGCATCCTGGTTACCTTAGCATACCAGGCGCATGCATAAGCTAGGGCTTTAAGGGCCGAGTGCTGTATTCTGTAAGGAGCAGTAGAAGGCTAAGGACAGGTTACAGGAATGGCTTGTGGAACTAGGAGTCGGACTTAAAATAAGACCTGGCAGGAGGTGTGTGTTCAGCTTTTCTTTTTAAAATTGAAGTTGTATTCTAGAGCCTAACTAGCCATTCCTTCCCGTCTTGTAGTCTTGCTTACCCCAGAGCCTCCATCCTACAAAAGTCCTTAAACAACACCCAACTTTTCAAAAGCCGAGCCTTTTCAGGACATCTCAAAGAGTAAGGCATTCTGGGCCAGGGTAGTTAAAGACCGTTTTGCCTGCTGCTATTCAACAAGGTCTTAAAACAAAGCTTGGACGTTTTCATCTTTTACTTCTGAAGCCCACTTCAGAGCGTTCAAAAACCAGCATGTGGACCCCCGAAAAATATTCTATGCAGGTGACACTGGGACTTAGTGAGGGTAGATGGAAGGGCCACTTTAAGGTGTGGCAGTTCCTGCCAGGGAAGTGCCACGTAAGTAGCGGTGCTGGGTGTCACTTGACATTCAACAGAAGTGGAAGTAGCTAGCGGTGGCTTTGGCTCTAATTGCTTAATGCTCTTGAGGAAGTGCTGGCAGGAGCCTTGCAGCCTGGTCACTGCCTGGCCAAGATCCCAAGGGGTCGCTGGTGGGACCCCGGAAAGATGCCGGGAGCGTCAATCATCCAAGGCCAGCTACCTGCCCGGCGCGCCGGGTCCAATGGGAGGAGCGCGCGAGCCGCACCTCAACCTGCCGGAAACGTCACGACGCCGAGGCTGACGTCGGGCCAATGGGAGGTTTTCCTGGCCAAGGGGCGGGGCCGGAGGAGTTGGGCCGCGGAGGCAGTTGGAGGAGTGTGTGGGTTCTCCTGCCCGGCAGCTGCGGAGCGCCCGCCGCTAGTCCGTCCCGGTCGCCGCGTCCCGCGTGGTGCAGGCTGCCCCGCTGAGCGGCGGCGGGAGCTGACGGACGCGCCTCCCGGCACGCCAGGCTCGACGCTTCCTTTCGCCCGCACTTCCTCCTGCCGCAGCGCCGTGCCGGCTGGGCGGGCGGGATGGCGGCCCGGGGGAGCTGCCGGGCGCCGACGCGACGGCTGCTCGTGCTCCTGCTGCTTCCGCTGCTCTGGGCCCCGGTCGGGGTCCGCGCCGGCCCCGACGAAGACCTGAGCCACCGAAATCAGGAGCCGCCGGCGCCCGCCCAGCAGCTGCAGCCGCAGCCCGCGGCAATGCAGGGCCTCGAGCCGGCCCGGGCCGAGGTGAGGGCCGCGGCTGGAGGGTACGGGGCGGGCGAGCCAGGAGCCGGCCGCCGGGTACCAGGCTCCGCCGCTGGCGGCGCCGCCCTCTTTCCGAGGCGACTGGGGGAGGGGAGCCGGCCCCTGCTGGCTTCACTGGGGGGGGAGGGTGTTCGACTGTTTTTCCCAGGCGCGGCCTGGCCTCGCTTGACTGCTTGGGGGAAGGGAAAGGGAGAGCCCAGCCAGGGGTCCCCAGTGGTCCCCAAGATCCCCGGGATCGACGTGCTTGCTCCGGAGTCAGCGTTCTGCTGATCAGATGTGCCGTACTGGAAAGACTGGAAATACTCATCCGGAGTAGGAAGTTTTTAGCACCGAGCAGCTGGGAGACTTTAGCTTGTCAAAGGGTCATCATCACACATGATCTTCCACATCATTGTGGAAGCAGTCCAGTCGGAGATGCTCACCCAAGCTCAGTTTGGTTCTTTGCCAAATATGGGTCTAGAGATCATGCATTGCTGGCCTCCCTTTTTAAAAACCGTGCTTTGGCTTGAGGGAAGTGGCCCTTAAAGAACGCAGAGACCTGTGTCTGATGGTAGAGTGGGGGATTCCCAAAACTACATTTACGTTCACCACATAGATATAGATTAACCTTTTAATCTATGTTCGTAGAATTTCTCCTTTCTAAGACACTCTTCTCTGTCTTGGGCTCTCTTATTTCTAGTTTTGACTCCTACATTCTGGAGTTTTTAGTCTGTCAGTAGGGTCCATTTTGGCATTCAGTTTCCCGCCCCAGTCTATGCCCCCTAATTCACTGAACTCAACTCTGTGAATGGCTCTGTTCTGACCTCAGTCATATGACAGGTTGGATATTCACGTTTCTTCATCACCTAGTTCCAGCCAACTTCTAGGTCTTTTACGGACCCACCACACCCTCCCTCTTTTCTGAAACCGCCGCTTCTAGATCTCTGAGACCTGGCATGTGCTCTCTTGCCAGTCCCTCTTAAACAAAGGCCTTACAACAGAATTCGAGCTTGAAGCCTGCGGGCCAGAACCCTTCCCATCTTCAAGAGCCAACAGAAACCTCTGGAGCCTTTCCCAAGCTGCTCTTCGGAAGAGATCATTCTCTGAGTAATGGGTGTTTTCATTTCCTCACGGTTCATATTACACTGGCCTTTCCCGGATTTTCTATGCAGTTACCGGGAGGTGGGAATGTCTGCGATTCTGAGTTTGCCTTTACACAGCAAGTACTTTCTAAGAATCACCTGCCCAGAGTGTAGTATTCGGTTTTGAGAAATAAGGAAAGATTCTTCTTACTGGAAGTGCTCAGGAAGAAGTTAAATCAATAGCCACCTGTTAGGCGATTTCATTGGTGTGACGTTAAGATTTGGGGAGCTGATTTCAGCCATATGTGGCTGTTAAGCAGGTAGAGCAGGTGACATTTCCTGGTTGTGGATGGGGCGGCCTAGGTTTGGGTGGTTTAATGTCCATTATCCCAGCCAGAGTTAGAAGCCAGATCCTGCTTCTCATCTCCCGGGTACTCTTAGCAGAGTTTGAAGCCAGATCCTGCTTCTCATCTTCCAGGTGCTCTTAGCAGTTCTTAGCCTTTTGTTTAATTCTAATGCATTTTAGTGGTTGCTGGATTGTATATTGCTGTAAGCCTTTGATCTTGATGACTTATACCCCCTTGCCTCCCTCCCTTTGAGGGACTTTACTATTTTATCTATTCTTAATACTTGTGGTTCTGACTTGGTTTTTTAAAACTTGTATACATGTTGTCTGCCCTTGCAGCATGTTAATGTCTAGAGAGTGTTGTTATCTTATTCCTCTTGGTCTCTTTCCTTGTATTTTTTATTTTTGTATTTTATTACTTGTTGGCTAAGTAATTTTCTAAGAGGAAGATCTAAGATTTTACATTTTAGTTCCTTTCGGGTTTTAAATACCTTTATGGAAGATGTGTAAAATGAACTCGAGCAGGAAAAACTAACCTAACAGTATACATTCCGGGGGAGTGAAATAACCAAATGCAAGAGTGCAATTTATGAATGTATAACTTTCTAGGCATTTCATGGTCGCTGTGGTCATTAACAATTTTTAAGGCAGAAATGGTGGCAGGCACAGTTATAGTTAGTTACTCAGTCCTTTGAGGATGCTGGAGATAATCTTACTGTGTTGTGGTCACAGTCTGTTGGCCTCACTTAAGTGGTCTTATGGATGTCTAACTTTACAGCTAATGGTTGGAGGGAAAGTGCAGACACTCTGGGTTTTGTCTTAATATTTTCATAAGTATTGGTGTTCTTTTCCATTAGGAATTGATGATTCACACTAGTAGCAGAACTGTCTCATTTTTATTATATTTTTGTATAACTTTTTGCTGTAGCTCAAATATTTCTTACAGTACTAGAATACTGTACTCTTTCATGTTTCTTAAACTGTTTAATAAAAGTATCACCTGCTTCTGTGTGACATAAATGACCAAAGTACAGTTTAACAACCATATAAGCCAGGATTCATATCTGTTGAGTATCTGGGTTTCAGCTGACTTTGCAACTATATGCAGTAGTAGTTTTAAAAGGATGAGATATATAAATTTAACCTTTGAGGCCACTGCCTCAAGTTGAGAGTGGACTGGGAAAATCTTGTCTTCATTGGCAGGTGTTTGGGTGGAAGAGACCGCACAAACAAGTGGCTGTATCTTACTGGGAGAGGTGAGCTGGCAGAACTTTCAGACTGGGCTCTTGTGTTGAGTGTTCTTTGTCTTTAGAACCTGGTTAGGAAGAAGCCAGGTGTGATGTACAGTTGTCCCAGCCCTCAGGAGGTCGAGGAGGAGCAGAGGGGTTCTCTTTGATCATACAGTCATGAACAAATCACAGTTTTTGTGCTCCAGATAGTGACCTAAGTTTGCTCTTATTTTTTTCTATTTCTTTCCTGGGCAGAGTATAGATGATAAATATTCTGAAGTTGAAGAAACTGTTCTGGCTGTGTAGCACTGTTGGTAGACCTACAAAAATCTTGTTACCCGTCCTGCCCAGGTTCGTGTTTTCACACCACTTCTTGCTGTCTGTTACATATTTGCTGTGAGAAAACCTCCACAGAATCGTTTGTTTCCCCATTTTCATTAAATGGCATTCTTCCTCCATAATGTCAGACGCCCAGATCAGCCTCTGCATGGCTGTGACTGACACTTTAGGCTGTGACGACTGTTTCCCATAGTGCCCTCTGCCTGAAATAGTGCTTTGGTACTCCATTTATTTGGTGTTATGTCAGCAAAAGAACTCTATTAAGAAAAATCAGTAATACTAAGTGTGTAATATGCTTCAAATTTATAAATACATAGTAGAATGGCAATGTCCATAAACAAGTTGCTAAATGTTAATAAAAAATAAATTTAAAATATATACTCTTAATAGGAGTCAAATGTAACATTAGTAAAAATAAAAGAATATTTAGATCATCTAATGAAATCATCCAGAAAGACTTAGACATTGCAATGAAAACTTGTAATAAAATGCCTTCATCTGGTCATGGTGGTACACACCTCTATAACCCCTGGATGGAGTTTGGCTCTGTTGGTACATATTGCTCTGTTACAGATCCAGCTGCATAGCAAGATGCTACTCCTACCCAAGCTCTAATTGGGATCTTTTAGTGCTGGCTTTGTCTGCAGGGCCATTGTTTTAGGTTACGTGCCTTTTGGCTTTTTGTCATTTGCATACAGTGATATTTCCTAGAAAAACCTGTTCTGACTCTGTCAGTAGTGTTGAGGCTGAGCTAGTCCTAAGTGTTGTCCCAGATTCCATTATCTCACGTGGTGTCACCTCTTATTTAATAACCTTTTATATATCTTTATTATACGCACACACAAAATCTGAAGGGGCGGAGTCAGTTTTTAGTAGCAAGTGATAGGTCTTGTTTCCATGCAAGCATCTTCCTGGCTTCATCATGAATAAAAGGAGAATCTAGTAAGTCATGTTTGTGCTCATTAAATTCTACAGTTAGAATTGGTTAGAATACAGTGCTCTCTCTCTCTGTTGTCATTTCCTCGTGAGGATAATGTTATGGTGATGCATACCCATAATCTCAGCACTGGGGAAGCTACAATAAGAGGTTTCAAGTTGAGTGCAGCCTAGCCTATATATAGAGAGACTGGTTCTCCAGTAACCAGTTTCTTTTCTTTCTTTCTTTCCTTCCTTCCTTCCTTCCTTCCTTCCTTCCTTCATTCCTTCCTTCCTTCTATTTTTATTTTTTGATTCTTCATCTAAGACAGCTAGAAAGATGGTTTATTGTACACGAGTTACACTTGGCCACAAGTGAGAACAGAACTAGTCCAGAATGCCACAGGTCCAGGGCAAAGGGCCAGTAGGAATGTTTTGGTTGTCATGAAGGCAGTCAGGTCTCTAGGTGGTCTCTGCGAGCAGATGGTGAGGTTCCAGGGCCACTGAGACTCATACTGACCATAGCACACAGTCCAACAACTAGTACCAGCGTCCCAGCCTTCAGCGTCCCTTCCTTGGGCTCCTTTAGCCTTCGTGGGTGAACAAGCTATAGTTTACTTGTGCCTCTGCCTCATCTGCCGTCTCTGGCTCTTCAGCCTGCACATTTGCTTCTTCCTCCACTTTGCTCTCATGGTGCAGGAGTTTCAAGGGAGATGGCCCCAAATGATCAGTTTCTTAAATGAGGTATTACATGCAGAGTTCTGTGCGTGTGTGTCATGTGAGGGTGTGAGCACAAGTGTGCCGTGGTATGTTTATGGAGGTAACAGGACCACTGGTGTTCATCCTGGAGTTCCACCCTGTTTGAGACAGCCAGGGGCTCTTGTTTTATGCTGTGTTTGGCATGCTAGATGTTCTGCAAACTTGTGGGATTCTCCTCTTTCTGCTTCCCATCTTGGAGGAACACTGAGGTTCTAGGCCTGTGCTGCAGCCCCTGGCTTTGAGTGGGTTCTGAGATCTAAACTCAAGTCCCCATAGTTTTTTGTGACGAGTATGAACTGATCCCTCTCCCCAGCTCTCAGCAAAGATTTTTGT